CCTATCATAACATACATATACATCCAATATACACATATTTTATCCTAACATACAATACACACACATACAAATGCACTTATACATATTTTTTCGCATATATTTTTTCATACATACAAAATACATTTCATATAGAAATAAATATATATTTGAATACAAACACCTGCATTTTCACATAAAAATGCCTACATTTCATGTACATATATTTTTTCACATACATTTTTTCATATACGCCCATATACATTTCACATAGAAACACACCTTATACATACTTTTACATACACTTTTTCATACATAAACATACACATACAATTTTTCATATAAATTCACATATACACATTTGCATATACATTTTTACATACATATTCATACATGTAGATTTCACATATATGCCAAAATACACACATTTAACATACCAAAATACATACATTTCACATACCAAAATATACATTTCACATACCAAGATATATACAATTCACATATACTTCATATACATTAAGAACAAAAAAAAGGAAAAGCAAAGAGGAACCTGTTGTTATCACCGGAAAATGGTGACGTCGGTGGTGTTGTGGTGGCGATCACCACTGGAGACTACTTAAAAGCACCAAAAAACATGAAATTTGAGCTAAATATTGTAAGAAAACAAGAGAAGGGGAAAAGGAAAAAAGAAAACGTATGTTACAGGAGGTTTAGGGTCGCCGGAAAAACTCAGAATTTGCCGGAAATCGGTGGAAATCAACAGAAATTGAAGCGCTACACGCAATCTATGGTTAGTGGTTATATTGGTTGGTGTATTAAGCCGGAAAATAGTACCTAAAAACGTAGGTCACCGGAGTTTTGCGAGAAAGGAAAGACGCAGAAAATGGGTCGTCTGGGATGAAGTGGGAGTCAAAAGGGCGCCGCCTTTAGCGGTGACAAATAGCCAATAGCGGCGACACGTTGGAGGGAAAAACACGTGCCATTCTGTGTTGACTATTAACCGTCCGATCCAAAATCAATCGAACGGTCAGGATGACATTGATGCGGATCACCATCAATAGTGGCGACGTGTCATCGCAATTGGTGATGCCGCTATTACTTCCCACGTGATGAAACCCTAGCTGATGGATTTGTTTAGTATCGTACGGTCACGATCAAATGGTGTGTGGGTAAAAGAGGATCGCCGGTGGCATACCTTTAGCAACGACGTATATAGAGACGACAAGACGCTTTAGTGGTGACATGAACTATTGTGGTCGCTAAAGGCTGACGTTCGCTATTGATATCGCCGCTAAAGGGCTGATTTCTTGTTGTGCGTGTAAGCATTTTTATAGCTTGTTTCACATATACCTAGCAAATGCATTCATGAATGTTAGCCTATTTGTTTATAGTGTATCAAATTATATCTAGGAATTCAAGTATTAAATATGTATGGAAATTTTAGAAATATATGTCCAAGTCAATGCGACCCGAGGCTTACCCTATTCATGAAAAAGCTGTACGTGAGTGGTGTGGCAACTCGGTCACACTTGTTCACTTTTCTAAACGATTTTGTTTTGGCTTCCCAAACTTGTGGCCAACTCACACAGAGCTTACACAGCTTCATCGCAACTCTCTAATCATTAACCTTCATTTTGACAGTTTTCCAATTAAAAATAGCTTTTACTTTGCTGTCCGGACCAAGTCTGACTCAGTTTAGGGAGATGACATGCTACATTTTTTTTCCTTATTTTATGAAGTTTGGTGTAGACTAATAATTGGTACTTTGGCATTTGAATGTTAGATGTAAGGCCTATTTAAGATGTATCCTTCTTTTGATTGTAATGAAATTAGCACTAGATTTTTCATTTAAATGTATATTTTCTCTTCGCAGAAGTCATTATGTCCCCTGTTTATACCATGTCTCCCCAACAACATAATTTAAAATATGTTGCTACTAATTGAATGATATGACTTGAAGTTTAGTTACGTGCAAAGTTGGTTATTGTTGCTTTTAAATGTTTATAGTTTTATTTTTCAATTTGAAAGTACGTTGTTGTTAACCGAATGATATCGCTTGATGTTTAATTAGGTATAAACTTGGTTATTGTTGCTTTATAGGTTATTGTTGATCATAATCTTAGATGAAACGAATAAAGAGTTTAAGGAGGAACATGAAGAATTTGAGACAAAAAATACAAAAAATAGCCAATATTACAGACCTATCTAACAATACGTTGATACTTTTGATTTTTGTAATTTGGTTTCAATACTTTGAAATCGAACACTAACTTTTGCTAATCAAATATTAATATTTATTGTGGTAATCGAATGTTAATGTTTTAAATTTCAGGTATAAAAGTTGAATTGCATTTGTGAATTCTTGTTATGGAATAACGACAGATTCACCACATACTAGACTATTGTTAACCCAGAAAAAAGATTTCATTTATAAATAATCGGTCGTGACGGAATGTAGAGGTTCCTTGAGTAATTTGTGTTATCACTAATTCATCGCTGAATCCCTCGTTAAATCTGTCACTGACAATCAGCGATAAGGTTTTTTTTTTGACCGACCATTTTGCCGCTAATCCGTCGATGATAGCCTTTAGCGACAGATTAGCGACGAAATTGTTTGTAAGTGATATCTATGTTTCTAGTAGTGAGTGGGTTTCTCATGGCCAACAACACAACGTTATGAAATATGGTTTATATTATATTGACAGCTACCTATTTCGTACAAAATTTACGTGAATGTACAGTTAACCGAATTAACTGAAATAACGGGTTATGCATAAAGGCGACTGCCATACACATATCTATAGAAATTGTATCATATGACAAGATTTTTTATTATGGTGTTCTACAAGGTATATGAGTTATATATTATCATACAAGAAAAATTCTTCTTTTCAAGTGTAATCGAGTTCATAATAAAAAATGGTTAAAAAATAAAAAGGTACAATTTCAAAAATCAACCGTCTAAAAAACGGTTACTTTAATAAAAAAAAATTTATTAATTACATTTTCATAATTATATATACCTCAATCTTTTTAGTACACATATTTCTCTATATCTATCTCTATTTCTATATCACTCAAAATACAAACACCAAAATGAACCAACTATGGATCAAAACCCGAATACCCCTCCTCCGAAGACAAACACATCCACTCCATTAGGTTTTGCGGGATATGAGGGATACATTAACCTTCTAAACTCCCAAAACTCGCCACAAATTCAATATTCCGACAATTTTTTCAATACCGCCTCACCCCCACTATAATTCTCTACCTCACTATTTATGCAACAAAATGCAAACATTCAACAAAACCTTTTTAACACATTTGGTCCCATGCGCCAAACAATCATACAACCCACACCCACGCAAGAACCCGTTGTCGAGACCCAAGCCGGGGGTAGTCAGAAAGCATCGGGAAAAAAAGGGAGACCAAAAAAGAAAGGGAAAGAGGTCGTTGTCGAGACAGACCAAACGGAAGCACCTCCAACATGGTGGACACCAGAGGAAGAGCATGCGTTGGCGACGGCTTGATGCGGTACTTCAAAACAACCAACTATGGGGAACGATATGAAAAGAGTTGCTTTTTGGGATGCCGTAATAGTCAAATTCCGCACAATTTTGAACAAGGGTGACACGTATCGCAATAATGATATGCTTAGTGGAAAATGGACTCAAATTAGCCGGAAATGCACCAAATTCAATTCCATATACAAAAAACTTTCTTCGCAACGTCAAAGTGGTGCCAATGATTTCGTTGTGTTTAGAGCCACGAGGGAGGAATATCACGTGCAAATGGGGCACATATTTGAGTATGAAAAAGTATGAGAGTTAGTGAGGAAAGATCCAAAATGGATGAAAGCGCCAACATCATCGGAACAATAATCCAAAAGGTCTCGTGGTTCGGGTTCGGTTAATGTTTCTGATGGACACACGAACATCGATCTCAACGCGGACACCGATGAGATCCCGAACGAGTTTGACGACATCGAGGAAATCTCTCCGCCACGACGACCTATGGGGCGCGACAAAGCGAAGCGCACTCAACGACATGCAGAGGAGAAGGAAACTCGGCTTCGAGAGCACGAGGAAATGAAAAAAAAAATCGACGGCCACACGGAAATCGCAAATAAAAGATACGAATTACAACGGGAGCATTTTGATTTCCTTCGTCAAGAATCCCAAGAAGATCCCATATCGAAGGATATGGCAATTCTTACGACAAACGAAGAAAATTTACCACCGAGACGAGCTGAAATGATACGGAGGATGAATGCAAAAATCAAGAGCAAATACTTGGGCGAAAAATAGTTTGTCGGTGTTTTTTTAAAAATTATTATGACTATCGTGTGTTTTTTTTCAATGTTTTTTTTGTTTGTATGGTATTTTTTGTTTACTATTTAATGAAATTATATTTTATTAATTTATATGTTTTTTTTTAGATATATGACATAAATAAAAAAATAAAATGAAGTAGAAATATACGAAGTGAATAAAAAAATAAAACAAATTAGAATAATAGAAACTAAAAACATTCAAAAAAATAAAAATAAAAAAATAAATAGAAAATTAAATGTGCTAACCCATATTATTTGGTGTTGCCCATTTCCACATTTGGTGTTATAACACCAAATTGTGACTTGAGAGGTGGACAATTTGGATATGATAACATGTAATAACATATTGCCCACACCTAGTAGTCTTACAGGAGGTTGAAAATAAAAACAATTCTATTATTTGAGTTTCCATAAGCGTCATTAAATTTGGTTGCCAAATTTAACTTGAGCAATGTAGTAAAACTAAATAAGCATTGCATTAGATAATTTTTTGTTGAGTTTCATAAATGACACACTTTAAAAAAAAAGGAGAAATTAATATCATTAATACACACATGATCATATCAAATTCATTGCCCAATGTTGACCAATTGTCCAACTACTATTGAAAAATAAAACAAGCGCACAACTTATAATAAAAACATTCCTACCGTTGTACCACGTACTCATTGTCCACCACAGACAAATTTTACTTCATAAGTTGGGCAATGATTGGAACACATACATTTTCCAGTTCATTTAGTGTTTTCTCATACTTATCAACATCTGCAAGTTTGCTTAGATCAAGAATTTGGCTTGCGCTCCTTATCACATTTTCCATTTTTACCAATTCTTCCTTTGGGATCTTTGTGTTATCAATACTTCCTATGCTTTTGATTTTGGCATTCACATCGTAAATATATTCCTCCAACAGATTATGTGCAAAAAGTTTCTTCTTATACTCCTCATCATCAAGTTTGTACTTTTCAGCATCTTTCAACATTTTTTCGATCTCTTCCTTTGAAAGTCTCTGCTTGTCATCGCTGATTCTAATTTTTTTCTTTAGGCCAGTGGTTAACTCCTCTGCTGAGCAATTTAAAATTCCATTAACATTAATTTCAAATACCACATTTACCCTTGACATACCCTTTAGTGCAACTGGTACTGCAACTTGGAATTTCCCCAACCAGTCATTGTCTATAGCTCTACTTTTCTCACCTTGATAGACATCAAAAGTAATAGCACTTTGGTTATCCACACTTGTAACATAGATTCTTTCCTGCTTGACTGGTATTGGGGAATTTCTTTTGATTATAACAGATAAAGAGTCATCATGAATACTTACACCAAGTGAAAGAGGGACCACATCCAACAACACTAAGTTCTTCACTTTTTGATTACTTTCACCACTTAATTTTGCAGCAAGAACTGCTGCACCATATGCAACTGCTTCGTTAGCAGGGATCTTCTTAGAAAGCTCTTTCCCGTTGAAGAAGTCTTTCAACAATTGTTGTATTTTAGGTATCCTAGTTGACCCACCAACTAGAACTACCTCATTTACATTTTTCTTGTTCATTTCAGCATCACCCAAACATTTTCCCACCAACTGTATGCACTTACCAAATAAATCCCCATTAAGATGTTCAAATTTTGCACGAGTTATTCGCATAGAAAAATCAATACCCTGATGCAAATCATCAATTTCGATAGGAGCGTCAGTAGTTGAAGAAGTTGAAGAGAGTGATCGTTTTGCTTTTTCATAAGCTACCCTCAACCGCCCCATTGCTTTTATGTCCCTACTCATGTCTGTCTTGTGCCTTCGGTTGAATTGCATCACAAAATGTTCCACCATTGCATTATCAAAGTCCTGACCACCTAAGTGAGTGTCACCAGCAACAGCTTTCACAGTTATCGTACCGTTGTTATTAATGTTGACAAGAGAGACATCAAATGTACCACCACCCAAATCAAAGATGAGCACATTTGTGCCATGACTTATATCAGTTTTCAAGTGTAATCCGTAAGCAATTGCAACAGCTGTAGGTTCATTGACTATTTGTAGAACATTAAGTCCAGCCACATGACCAACATCTTTTGTGGCTTGGCGTTGTGAATCATTAAAATACGCTGGAACTGTGATGACTGCATCCTTTACGGTTTCACCAAGGTATGCCTCTGCAACTTCTTTTAGTTTCACAAGAACCATGGATGAAATTTCCTCTGCAAAAAACTCCTTCATTTCACCATTGTATTCAAGTACAATCTTTGGAATGTTGTTAGTCCCTTTTATAACTTTAAAAGGCCATAACTTCATGTCTTCCTGAATCTTGGCATCATAAAATCTCCTCCCAATCAATCGTTTTGCATTTGAAAATCCAAGTATGTAATAATCAATTACGAATAAAGACACTTTTATAAACTCAAACTGCCTATAACAATGGACAATAAAATACAAACCATAAACTGTGTTGGTGGGGTTCACAAACATCTTGATCTTAGCAGCTTCACCTACTAGACGTCTGACTTCGTTGAAAGAAACACAAGATGGCATAGTCCTATTACCTTGATCATTGGGTATGATCTCAACTTGATCATGTTGCCACACAGCCACACAATAATATGTTGTTCCAAGGTCAATACCAATAGCTTTTTTCCCAACCATAATGCTTTCAAGTCAAACCTACATTATATGAAATATAATGACTGCATTTAAATATTTGTACTCATTTAACTTGATTCCAACCATTTACAGTTGTGTCACATTAGCATCTGACAACAATAACAAAAACACAAACAAATACATACAATGATAGAAACAGGATTGGACAGTAATGTATAATGCGATAATTAAATCTTGGATATTGAGAGGGTTACATGGAGTCACTTTCCTTTTGCAATATTTGACCCCTATAAAGCTTTGATGTATGTAATATGCGGAAGAGAAATTAAATATCTTCACAAAATTTCTTTCTACTTATCTTCTTACCCATGTTAAATGGTAACAACTGGATTAAAATATTATCAAGGAAAATTAAATATGACATGTGTGATCATTTGACATGAGTAGAAAGATGGTACGAAGAAAATGTAGGATGATATTTAATTTCCCTTTGCGGAAGGACAATATTAGAAACTCTTTTATAGAAAAATATTTGCTATATACTAAAAATGGTGAGACTTAGTCTCGTGCATAAGAGTTAAAAGTGAAAGAATCCTTAAAGAGATCAAACAAAGCAGTTTCCAAAAATAAACATGTATATTTATGAACATTTATCATTCTTATATATATATATATATATATATATATATATATAATATATATATATATATATCATTTGTATGTTAATTCCTAAACAAATGAAATGTCACAAATGAACATGTATATTTATGAACATTTATAGGGGTCTTCGTTTGGATGGATCGGTTTGATCCGATCCAATCAAGTGAATCCAAATTGATTTCAGTTTTCAAAACATGAATCTGAATAGTCCAAACTAAATTCAAATCCGATCCGATCCGAACCAATTACAATTCGGTTGAATCGGTTTTTATAAGTCGGTTTTCAAAAACCGAAACATTTTAACACGACATATAATTATAATATTACCCAACTTTACACAAGAAGCAAAAACAAATTATTTAGTTGTGATTTGAAATTTATAAACAACTAATAAGAAGATATATTATAGTTAAATATTTTATAGATAGAAAACTTTTGGGAGAAAATGCATATTAATGTTTTTTTATCGGGTGAAATGTTTTGAACCTATTTGAAAAAATAAATTACAAAATTAATAAATAACTATAGATATATATTATAAATAAATAAATAATAAATATTTATTTAGTTTTTTTGGACTATTCGGTTCTTATTTTATAAACCAAAACCAATCCGAAATCCAAAATAATAATTCAATTTTGTTGAAAACCAATCCAAAAATCCGAATATCCGAACCAAATAGTCCAATCCAAATTGTCCAATTGGATAATTCGGTTTTATCCGAACAGTGAACAGCCATAAACATTTTATCATTCTTATATATATATATATATATATATATATATATATATATATATTAATATATATATATATATGTGTGTGTGTGTGTGTGTGTGTGTGTGTGTGTGTGTGTGTGTGTGTACTGTTTTATAATCCGTGGGATTCATGGTTATAAAAATAATTAAACTTTCATAGTAAAAACTCAAAATTATTAATCTATTATTTTGAATAATTTATTTTCAAAAAATTATTAACTAAGACATAGTTTTTAGTTATATAAAATTATAATCATTGATTTAAATAAATACGTGAAATTCTATCATCTTATAATATGTATTTATTTTATTTTAATATTTATTCTAATTTTATTAATTTAATGTATTTAGAGTAGCATATCTAAAATTTGAAATTTAAAATAAAGAATCAATAGGTTGATAACTAACATGATATATATATATATATATATATATATATATATATATATATATATATATATATATATATATATATATATATATATATATATATATATATATATATATATATATATATATATGTCATCTAACTATTATTACATCCATACGATCATTAATAGTATTGGATAGTAACTATTGTATTTATCATATTTAAAAGGAACATTAAGGGTTTTATAAGGTTCGTTAAATGAATACTACCTTTTAATGGCTTAAACAATGTTTTGAAAATCGGACCGGACATTGAACTGTTCGTTTTACCGGTTCGATGGTTCAACTGGTTTGACCGGTTCGACCGGTCCTAAAAACATCCGGACGATATATATATATATATATATATATATATATATATATATATATATATATATATATATATATATATATATATTTACTATCTTATAAAAGAAATCTAACTATTTCTAAAAATAGATTGATTATAATAATATTATTTTTTTAAGACGTCCAAATGATAAAGCTGATAGTACAAGTAACCATTAATAAAATAATATTAAATTTTAACCACATTTTGAATTCAAATATTTATCATCAAATCTCCTTATATTTCTCAACAATTTGATATGGTTCCCTCAAATCCCGGATTCATTCAAATTTTGAACCCTTTTAGATATCCTTAAATTTAGCATGTTGATTCAAATATCCCTCCAATCGCATATACCTCTTTGTTCCATCATCTGCTATAAAGCCCACCGTCCAGGAACAAAAAATGACTTCATCTCCCAAATAACACCATAGTTTGATTATTTTGTCTTCGACATGTACTTTCTTTTGTAAAATAACATTTTTGTAGAGGAAACATATCACCGAAAGAATTTACACGCCCCGCCGCTTTGCGTGGGTACACTGCTAGTATATATATATATATATATATATATATATATATATATATATATATATATATATATATATATATATATATATATATATATCATGATTTTGAACATTTAAAATGAAACGGCACATTCCGATTTCACCTTCAAATAATTTATAAGCTTACTCCTTAAAATCATTTATAAACTTACTCCTTAAACTCTTGTTAAAAACATAATGCCAAAAGAAAAAAAAATCTTTTTATTGAATGTTGAAGACAATCCTCAAAGTCACTATTCAAGTCTATCCCACATTGCCCAAAAAACTAAAATGAAGGCTTTGGAAAGGTGTATAAAAGGAATGGAGTGAGTGGGTTTTGAAAGAAGGAACGGATCTCCTATATTACAATGAGGGTCCCTTTAACTTCTTTTTAGTATAAAATTTATAATCTTTTATTGGGTTTCAGGTTTTGTCCGGTTTGACCAGCTTGGTTTTTCCTGGTTTTTGGTTGAACTGGTGGTTCGTTACCGGTTTATTTACAAGTGGTTTTCAGGTTTAAGAAAATCGGTAAACTTACTGATTCCTGGTTAAACTAGTTGAACTTCTGTCCAGTCTAGTCCTGTTTTCAAAACAATGGGCTTAAAGAATGTTAGAGACCGTTCACATGTGTGGTCCTGTTTTCAAAACAATAGGCTTAAAGAATGTTAGAGACCGTTCACATGTTCGATTTTTTCATAAATTGGATGAAACATGTTGAATATTAATCATTTAAATATGACCTTTGAATGAATCTATTTAGAAATTATCAAAGAGACCCGGATCTTATATAGGTTCTTGCAATTTCAAACTCTTAAAGCCAAAATTTCCTTGGGAATCAAAATTCAATTGCATCTTAGACAACGTGATATTTTTGTGGGCCACAACATATTTTAATTCACTTCATTTTCTTCGGCTAACTCAATGAATGGTTGAGAAAATTTCCCTCATTGTTTATTTTAGTTTATTTTTTAAAAAAATTCCTACAAGTATTATACTCATTTTTATAGAGAATTAAAAATCATAAGTTTTGATATATATTTTTTTTATGATTTTTAGTAGGTATATAATTTAATAAGTTTTAAAAAAGAAAAAAAAGTTGGCCAATACAAAATAGGTGAGAGATTGAGGGAATGGGTTTCCTCACCACCTTTTTCCTCAGACAAGCTGCGGCGTTCAACCGAGAGGGACATTCTCTTACCCTTTCCTTCGCCCACACCGTCCAGACTTACAAAACATAATTACTTTAGAAAAATTAATAAATATATACACATGTTAAAAATTATACAATTTTAGGAAATGATTTCGATCGTCTATTATTTTTCTTATTAATAAGAGAAAGTAAAGGAAGATAAACAAAAAACGATTTGACGTGAGTCCATTTGCAAACACCAAAAATAAGCAGTTTTAGTATATAGAAAGTTTATAAAGCTTTATAAATACCTGTTTTGAGTTGAAGACTCACCAATTTTTGTATGATCCCTTGTTTATGTGTACCTCCTGCATGTACATTGATCACAAGCACATATAAGGTTCATTTCACATCATATTAATTCACACGAAAAATGTAGAATAAAACATGCAAGCGTTTCTTTAATGTTTGTTGAAAATATTAAAATTCAAGCATGAAATCAACTATTATTGAATTTATATATAATAAAGGAAATAATAAAATTTTATGTTATTGCGATAAATAGAAGAAAGATGTCATTACATCAAAATGTCACCTGTTATGAGTGAATGAATGAATCCCACCGTTCCTTGCTCTATCTATGTATATACAACAAATTACCCAGTTATTAATACTCTTGGGTGAAGCTTTTGGGATAAAAAAGATCCAAGTTGCATTAACCTAATCAATTCAGATCAAATCGAATCTAAACTTATAATCTTTTAAGACTTTTCAAAATTTATGGTTATAATATTAAAACGACAAATATGGTTGTTAGAGAGTTGACATATGTTGTTTGATATTAAAATGACAAATATGGTCGTTAGAGTGTGAACATATATTATTTGATATTAAAATGACAAATATGGTTGTTAGAGTGTTAACATTGAGAAAATTACAAAAAGAATATAGGACATATTTTTATTTGCAGTCCGTGTATTACATGGGTTGATTAGAAAAATTAAAAATGAAAATGTAAACCCTTAATATTTTTTAAAATAAATATTCAAAATAAAAACAGAAAAACGTATTTATTGCAATTTACTATCGCATTTATTAGATTAATACATTACATATACAACTATAAGTATTATATGGCTTTTTAATTTTTAAAATTGAAAAAAAAAAACAAAAACTAACATGTGGATATTATT